AGAATAAAACAACAAAAACTTGATTATAATCTTGACTACCCAGAAATAACTACTTAATTCTTTAATAAAGTTTTAACATATGTATATAAGTATGTATGTATATGTATATATAATTTGAATGATAGAATACATACTGTTGTGATATAATGCATTTTATAATCTGACAATTGTAGTGAGCAGATATTTTTCCTCACATTCTTAAGTAATTTTGCATATGTTGCACTGTTGTTATTGTGATTTGAATAAGAAATGTCCTCTATATGCTTATGTGTTTTAACACTTGGTCCTCAGTGTTTTGGGAGGTTATGGAACTCTAAGAGGCAGAGGCTGGCTGGAAGAAGTGGACACACCTTGAAGTTTTATAGCCTGCTCTGCTTCTTGTCTGCTCTCTGTTTCTTGTTCCACAGAAATTTGAGGACGTTAAGAGTTTCAGATGTGCGTTAAGAGTTTCAAATGCGCACAAGCTGCCTCACCCAGCAGTCTCAACTGTGAGCCATTCCTATCATACCATCTACACCATGATGTACTCTTAAGTATGAGCCAAGATAAACCTTTAGTCCCTTATGGGCTTCTTGTCGGGTCATTGGTTGCAACAATGAAAAAAAAAGAACTTAAAAAATATTTAATGCATAGGGATCAGAAAAGCATACATGTGAAATTCATAATTGAAGCAAGTCATCTCTATGCAGAGTTCACTAAGAATACCTTGGAAGTACAGGTAACCAAGGCAGGGCTCATTGCTGCCCTCTGTTCCACGTGTAGGCACTGATAATGCAGTTTCATACCTACATTTAGAAGCTTTATTCTCCTCTGGTCTACCTTCCTCTCACCTTCTATAGGTAGCACTAGTTCATATGGCTATCCTTTTTATTATTTATATTTCAGTTCTTCAGCATTGAGTTGCAAAAGAAAAGAAGAAAGTAAACATTTACATTCTTTTTTTTTTTCTTTTGCATATACCCCTCAAGGCCCAGGCCCCTCCTCAAGGCCCCTGTCTACCAATGCTATTGCTTTTCATATTACATTTTATGTTGAATAAAGAAAAGTTAGAAATGAACTTGAGTCCAATTACTCAATTATTTTATTATAAAAGAAAATCCCTGATCAAAATAAATGTTGAGTGGGGCATCACAGTCATGTATAAAGTAATAAATCTATTGATGGATGTGATGGCAGAGTGCAGGTACATATTAGGTATAAGTGTCTAGCTTTCTGAGGACAAGTTGTTACTGCTGCCATGTTGGGAGAATTCCAATGTACTTAGTGTTAGTTTTCCACTAGTTGGCTCTATTTTCCACCAGGAAATGATGCTACATCAAAGAAGCAAGAGCGCTCCTGCTCCCTGTTTCGACATACAGAATACACAGTTGTAATCCTAGCCAAATAAGTCCTGGTAAGATAAGATTGTGCAATCATTTTATTCAGACTGCCTCTGATGTATTTTTCTTCAGCTAATTTAGTGAGAACCAGGTCAATTGGGAAAGATTAACCAGCACAGAACAGATCATTTTGCCTACCTGATCAGAGAAGTCAATTAAAGATTCTTGTAGTTTGTTCTTACACTGAGTATCAGTCCGCATATCTTGTGCTCGTTCCTATAATGTTATTCTCTGCAAGCCTGTGACAATCAGTAAAACCATTAGCTTCCATCTATCTAGTAATATAGCTCCAAAACTTCAGTCATATATTCTTGCTGAAGAGTAGACATGCAGATTTATTACTCAACATCCATTACTTGACTCCATGGGGAGTATGTCCTTTCTCAGCATTCCTAAAGACCTGTGTGAGAAGTCAGTGTTGTTTTAGCTTGTATCAGCAGGATGTATGGAAACAATATTTTAAAATTCCAGTTTTTCTCATTCTTAATTTAACTAATTATGAGGAATTTCACATGAAGCTATGGATTTGGTGTAATAGACACACAGTCATTGAAAAGTTGGAGGTATTATGGGAGAATGAGCTAGTGTGTAATTTTTTTTTGCCTTATATGTCCTTAATCCTGATCCTTTATGTGAATCATATTTGGTAATAAAATATTTTATGTTTTCATAGAATGTGTGTGTGTGTGTGTGTGTGTGTGTGTGTGTTCTGAAGACAGCTTAGACCACAAGGTCACTTAAAAATGCATAGTTAAGTAGTCTATCTTTTATCAATATCTACCATTAAGCCAAAAGCTATTATCAAAGAATAATTTTTGTTTTGTAACCTATGAGTCAGGATACCTCTTTTAAAGTTGATCAGGGGGATTCCCCAGACTCCCCAAGCAATACAGGCTACTGTCATAGTTCTTGGCTGCCTACCAAATCTCAATGTTAAGACCTTATTGCCGAAGACACCACATGCATGGGTCACAGGATGTGGAGAAATCAAGCTGGTACTGAAATGGAAGCTTCCTCATACTGTCTACCTTTTACAGTCACAGAAGGTATTATGCAGTATGCTAAGGTAAAAGTCATCAGCAGTCTTACTTAGCTGTGATCCCTGCAGTCTATAGTAATGACTAGTCTGAAAAGATGCACCCATTGGCTCAATAGTTGCATGGATGTTACGGAGGTAACTAACCACTTTCTGAATGGATTTAAGGAACTCCGTAGGATGAAACTGAAGCCTAGTGAAGTAAACTGGGCCAAGAGCCTGTGGCTGAGAAGGTCATAAGCCCTAGCAGAAAAACTACTATTATTTTGTTAAATGGACATATCAAATTACTTTATAAATACCCATTTTTGTACTCAGAGATTAGTGCAATTCTCAATTCTCATCAGTGATGCTTCTTTGTACAGTGGATGGAATTAAGACAGAGACTCACAACTGGTCAAAGTACAGATAATTAGTGATTGTAGTGCTTAGCTTTATATAGGATGTCTATATCACTGCTGTTGCCTCAATACTTAGGTATCCACACAGAAGAGGGAGCAGAAAGATGACAAAAGCCAGAAGCTGGGGACGACTGCTGTGAAATTATGTCTCAGACATTACAGGGCCATTGCTCACATGAACTCACAGCAGTTGTGCTTGTCTATACAAGATCTCTACAGCATCAAGCCAGTCACACTCAATCATGTATCGGGTAGGGCTCATGCACTTATATCTCTCCCTGGGGAGTTACTGGCAACTGTTGGCTGCTGAGCTAGGGAGAGTCAATCTTCAGGGATGTGTTCCCTGGTTGGTTGCTCAGATTCCAATGGATGGCCTACACCTATTGGCACGTGGGCAGCACTAACCGAACTCATACAGTCATAAAGAGAAAAAAGCATAAATAAAGTTGAAAGGAAAAGGTAGAAGGGTCTGGGAGGATTTGTACGGTGGGTAATAAGGAGCAGATATGATCAGAATACATTGTATATATGTACGAAATTTTCTAAGAATAAATTAAAAATATTTTTGAATAATTTTGGAAAAGGAAAGCATACTACCCTTTATCTGTGAAATAATATTTGTCTCAGTAGAACTTGTCAGAATCTCCAATCACCTTGTTCTAGTTTGTTTCTTAATTGCTGTGACAAAATACTATGACTAGTACCAACTTGGGAAAGAAAGGGTTTATTTTATATTATATCTTCTGGGTCACAGTTCATCAGGGAGCTCAATGTAGGAACTCAGGGAAGAAACCTGGAAGCAGGAGCTGGAGCACAGGACATGGAGGAATGCCACTTACTGGCTTGCTCCCCTGGCTCCTGATAGGCCTCCTTTCTTATGCAACACAGGCCCACCTGCTCAGGGGTGGCACCACCCACAGTAGGTTGGACCCTCCCACATCACTCAACAATCAATAAGATGCCCCACAGATATGGCCACAGGCCAGTTCAACAGAGGCAATTCCCCAGGTGAGGCTCCCTCAACCCAGTGTGTCAAGTTGACACTAAAGCTATCCAGCACACACCTACAATATATACCATGAACACTTGATGAAACATTTATCTGGTTCATAAAGCTTAGGTGACTTAGTAACTTGCAGTGTCCTAAATTTAACCTTTTGTTAGATCCACAAGAAATATCAGCTTTATAGTGTTTTGATAAAGCGATCAAATTGGTATATTACCTTCAGTTATGCCAATTATCACAATGCAGAGATTTGTGCCTTTTTGTTATTTTCTTTTCTTTGCAAAATTAATTATACCCAGACATCTAGATTCATAGAACCTTTCTAAATTGTCTATTGATTGTCATTGGAGTTTATACTTTTTACATTTTTTATCAATTATTTTTTAATTTTTATTGAACTTTTGTACATTTCTTTTTTTTTTTTTTTTTTTTTTTTTTTTTTTTTTTTTTTTTTTTAATTGAAGTAGCAAAATAGATAGCCAGGGTACCTGATCCAAGTCTCAGCTCTTTTGTTTGACTAGCTCTAGAAACCTGGGCAAATTATTTAACCTTTCTACATTGATGCTTTCTAAATTTCACTTTTTACAACAGTTGTTAATCAAATTTAATCCTGGGGCTGGAGAGATGACTCAATGGTTAAGAGCACTGACTGCTCTTGCAGAGGACTTGGGTTCGATTCCCAGCATCCACATGGTGGCTATAAACAGTCCTTAACTCCAGTTCCAGGGGACCGAAGCCCTCTTCTGACCTCCATGGCATTGCACAACACAGGTGCACTCACTTACATGGAGGCAATACACTTATACACATAAAATAAAAATAATAGATAAAAATTTAAAGAAAAAAATTTAATTCCCCACCTCCATCCATGACCCCAACCCCCCACCAAACCTCATATATTCCACTATGCATGTTAAGGGTTAGCAATTAAAACTAAAAAGTAATGATTTACTAATCAATTGGTCTGGTCAGCATGTGACCAATATTTCCAAGCAAAATGAAGCCTAGAATGATATCATGATGATAATCTTATGGCTTATACAAATGTGTCTTCCCTTAGGTGTAGATATTCAAGTGTTATGCAGCCTGTGGTGCTATTTGGGATGGTTCTGGTCTCTTTGGAAGGCATAACCTAGTGGAGAAAATGGTGACTGAGAGCTGTATCATTGGGACTTGTATCTTTTACTGGGCCATTTTCTGACTTGCTCTCTGTTTGGGGGATGCCATGAAGTAATAACTTTGCTCCTCTGCATGTTGTTCATGATGATTCTCTGCATTATCGTGGCACAGAAACATCAGAGTTGGCCAACCATGCTGCTACAGGAATCGCCACATGTCGAGCAGGCACTGGAGACTTAGTGGTGAAATTCAAGCTTTATTTGTGCCAACGTGGACCAGGGGAGTAGCTCTGAACCAGAGTTACGTCATTATAGGTAGTTCATTGTCACTCCAGACCCATTCTGTCATTGATAGGCTTAAGTTCCTGCGTACATGACTGCAGGCCATGCATGCTTTCTCTAGCCCACATGACCATCAGCTCTGTGCTGGGGTCACTAGACCACGTGACAGTAGACTATAAGCAGGAACTTTCAATGGTCAGTGTTTTTGCAAAAGATGAACAACAGGTTAGGTTGGGTTGGTCATCTGTTGACAGCTCCATTTCAAGATAAGGCATTATGGTTCCATTTCTCACTCAGTTTAGACTCTTTGTCTCAATACAGTAAACCCTTTGGGAGTAAGCTAAATAAAAATTTCCTCTCTCTTTGATTTTTTTTCCATTATGTTTTTCATTACAATGATGAAAACCAGACTAGTCCACGTACTTTTTACCAAACACCAGGTCATTGCTGTGACTAAGTTTGACCATGTGGCTCTTAGTTTTGGGAACTATCTTGTGGAAGGATTTAGGGA